TCTCTGTAAATTGGTCAGTCCATCCCTGGACTATCAAGAATACAAAAGAATTAGGGGCACCTGAGTGGCTCAGTCAGTTAAGCATCTAACTCTTGATCTCAGCTTAGATATTTTTTTAAGACTTTATTTATTCATGAGAGACACACACAGAGAGAGAGGCAGAGACACAGGCAGAGGGAGAAGCAGGCTCCATACAGGGAGCCCAACACGGACCTGATCCGGGGTCTCCAGGATCACACCCTGGGCTGAAGGTGGCACTAAACCGCCGAACCACCTGAGCTGCACTCAGCTCAGATCTTGATCTCAGGATTGTGAGTTCAAGCCCCATGTTGGGCTCCATGCTAGACATGGATCCTACTAAAAAAAAAAAAAAATACAGATTTATTTACTTTGAATGTGGCAATTTAAATACAGAAAGTAGCCAAATAAAAGTATATTTCTAAAAGGATTTTTTTCAGGTCATCTAGCTGGCTCAGAGGGGCATGGAACTCTTCATCTTGAGGTTATGAGTTCGAGCTCTACATTGGGTGTAGAGATAACTTAAATTAATAAACGTAATTTAAAAAATAAAAGGATTTTCTTGATAATCACCCATTAAAGAATATCATATGATCAAAATAATTTAATAAAGATTTCCCATGGCATATGGAGCAAGGAGATGGTAAATCTGAAAGTGGAATGTGACCAACAGTTGATGTCACATGGCTCTGTCCACCTGACATGGACAAGATGGTATATATCACAATGAACAATTGTAATAACCTTATAGCTGGCTTGCTCAGTAATGCATATATTCTGATTGTTGGGGCGATTTTATTTTTTCAGCAAGTTACAACCATTTCGAGATGGTGAATTGCAATATTGTACCCTTAATTCATATATTGGGAAGAAAAGCCAAAAAGTGCACCCAGAAGATGTTGAAGCCGAAACAATTATGATTATGCCTTTGCAGATTTGGAATAGGTATGTCCCTAGAAATTCTGGGCAACAGGTGTTCTACTGTATGATATTTCACCATTGTCATCCCACTACTTAGGGAAAAATTATTAAATAACTAAGGCCTCAAAATAAAGTCCCTATTTCTTATCCTAATGTTCAGGATCCTCTCAATACAAATAATGCTTTTGTGTCATTATCCAGCCAAAACAGTTATCTTATTATTCCCCAAATATTCTATTTATTGTGAAAAAATAGAGGTGGAGGGTAGGTTCTGAAATTAGATGGTAAGATAAGTCAAATGACTTCAGAATTATTCCTTTTTAAAAAATTTTTAAGATTCCTGTAAAATCCTTGACCTTATCCAAAAAACACAATATACATGATTTTCGTATGAACACTTGTACACAGCAAATATGTATACATGTGAAATATATGCAATAATGTATAGTATATCATACTATACAATCACTTGTCTGGTTATCTGAATGAAGCATTTTATTTCTTTGCCAATGGTGGCACTCCCTTAAAATCACTCATGTATTTTTATTAAAAGTTTATTTAGTGACCAAAACTAATAGATAATATCTTGCATTTATGGAGGATTTCTTCGTGTGCTTTACATGAATTAATTTATAGATTCCACATAACAATCCTGTGAAGTAGGTGATCTTCTTTTCCTCATCATACAGATGACAAAAGTGGGTCACAGGAAAATGTTTGCTGAATTGGGAGGAATGCCTGTAGGCTGGTTTACGTTTTGAGTGCGGACTGTACTGACTTTGGGTTGAAACTGCAAGTTGGTCAAGTTGGTAGGTAAGAGGTGATAAAATGAAAATGAGTGTTCAGGGATCCCTGGGTGGAGCAGCGGTTTAGCGCCTGCCTTTGGCCCAGGGCACGATCCTGGAGACCCAGGATCGATTCCCACGTCGGGCTCCCAGTGCATGGAGCCTGCTTCTCCCTCTGCCTGTGTCTCTGCCTCTCTTTCTCTCTCTGTGACTATCATAAATAAATAAAATAAAATAAAAAGAAAATGAGTGTTCAAATCACTCACATGGGAAAATTTATACAGTCCCAGAAATCTTGCCATGGGCATAGATAGCACCACATGAAATCCCCAATCCAAGCAGGGAGAGGAAGATAAGCTTGGCATCTGTAGTTGGATATTGGGTTTTGGGGCCTTGTCAGGACATATATGGTTCCTTGGAGGGCCCCTGAGATGTAGCTTCCAGACCCCCAAATGGAAAATCCTGGAGTGAGATTGGGTAGCAAATGGTTTCCTCTGTCACAAAGACGAAGACCCAAATTGGCCAGTCACTCCAGGCTGTGATTCCAAGTTTAAAAAGTGAAAGTGAAGTTTTAGAATTTCCTAAAATCTACCAATAACTTTACAGTCTTTTAATGAATTTTTAAATAAATATGTCCACAAAGTCTTTGGTTTCCTTGGACATGATGAAAACCACTGAATCTTCTCCATTCTAGCTCTCCCACCTTCAGATGATCCCATATAATGTGTTCAGGGCAGGGATTTAGGTGCAGGCAAGTGAGACATTCACCTTGGGTGCAGAACTTAAGAGAGCACAAAAAATTCAGTAATCAAGAGAAATAATGTTTTAATACAATATTTTCTAAATCAAAATTAATGAACGGGTGCCTGACTGGCTCAATCAGGAGAGCATGTGATTCTTGATCTCAGGGTGTGAGAATGGGCCCCATGTTAGGTGTAGAGATTACTTTAAAAATCTTTTTAAAAGGGGCACCAGGGTGGTGCACTCTGTTGAGTCACAGTCTCTTAGTTTTGGCTCAGGTTATGATGTCAGCATTGTGGGTCAAAGCCCCCTGTTGGGCTCCACGCAGAGTGGGCATGGAACTCTCTCTGCCCCTCTTCCCCTCAAATAAATAATTTTTTTAAATTAATGCAAAAAAATCATGAAAAACAAAATATCGAAATTTTAAATAAGACAAGCTGTTATTTGCTCATTTTATGACCCAGGGCTATTGTGCACTGGGAAGTTATTTCCAATTAACTCATGGTTCCTGAGCCATGAAGTCATCACATCCTGCTTTGTACAGGTTGACAGTGGTGTGCTTTGGACTATGTGTAGTCTTTTTTTTTTTCATTTTTATTTATTTTTTTAGGCAAACTCTACACCCAACAGGCTTGAACGTCCAATCCAGAAATCAATAGTCACATGCTCCACTGACTGAGCCAGCCAGGTGTCATAGTCATTAAATAAATAAATAAATAAATAAATAAATAAATAAATAAATAAATAAATAAATAAATAAATAAATTTATATATATTTATATATATATATATATGTAGCTTTTATTAACTTTCTAATCTGGTTCAAAACATGGGAAGATATTTTGACAAGTGTATATAGGGGCACATATACACTTTCTTTTTGCCTCAGGACCCAATATGGCTTTTTTTTTTTTTTTTTTGCCTCAGGACCCAATATGGCTTGGAATAGCCCTGGAAGGGTATTAAAATTTTTTTTTAATTTTTATTTATTTATGATAGTCACACAGAGAGAGAAAGAGAGGCAGAGACATAGGCAGAGGGAGAAGCAGGCTCCATGCACTGGGAGCCCGACGTGGGATTCGATCCCGGGTCTCCAGGATTGTGCCCTGGGCCAAAGGCAGGCACTAAACTGCTGCACCACCCAGGGTTTCCGGTATTAAAAATTTTTGAAGGGCACCTGGGTGGCTCAGTCAGTTGAACATCTGACCTTTGGTTTTGGTTTAGGTCATGATCTTGGGGTCCTGGGATCAAGCCCTGCATCAGCTTTGCACTCTGTGTGGAGTCTGCTTGAGATTTTTTACTTCTCCCTCACCTTCTGCTCCATCTCTCTCTCTCTCTCTAAAATAATTTTTTTTTGAGAGGCTCAGATGTCAAAACAAAATACAGTGAAGGTTGGCACTCTGTCCTACTCCATTCACTTCATTCCCTCCAACTTCCACATGTAATTTTCTTGTGTGTTCTTCCAGTTTTGTTTTGTTTTGTAAAAAGTAGCCACAAAGTACCAACCTTTGCCTTTGTTGATGCTTTCTATTGTGTATCTGTTTTGTAATTAAATTTTTCTGCTCTTTATATTTCCTTCTACTTTAATTTGCTTCCACCTTTAGGCTTTCAATAGAAATTGGTATGATGGATTTTTGACCTTTTCTAATTTTAGGTAGTGTAATGCATGAGATCTCTCTCTATACATTGCTTTAGTTGTATCCCACAAGTTTGGATATATTGCATCTTCATTATTATTCAGTCAAAAATGTTTTTCAATTTTTCTTTTCTCTTTGGTTATTTAATGGTGTTTTTCTTAGTTTCTAAGGAAGTTGAGGCTTTTTCCCTCATTACCTGTTAATGGTATCTAGATCAATTCTGTTGCAAAGAGTATATTATTTCAACCCATATTCCTTTAAAATTTTTGACTTGGGTTAATTAGAGGTATGGCATTTAATTTCCAAATATTTGGGGATTTCCTACCTTATTTTATTGATCTCTACTGTCGTTAAATGTACTAGAGAATATTCTCTTTGAATATACTGAGCATTGCCTTAAGGCCCAGTGTATAACCTAACTTGGTGAACATTCCATGTGCCCTTGAAGGGATACACACTCTGAAAATTGTTGTGTTCCATGTGCATTCTATAAAGTATTCTATGCCCCCCATCAGCTCAAGATGGTAGGCAGCGTGGTTCAGCTTTTCTGGATCTTTAATATCTTCTGTCTAGATGTTCTATCAACTTCTAAGAGTGGAACATTAAAATTTCATTTCTTAAAAGATTCATCATTTTAAGATTTATTTATTCAAAAGAAACACAGATTTTATTTATTTATTCATGAAAGAGAGGCAGAGACATAGGCAGATAAAGAAGCAGGCTCCTGCAGGGAGCCAGATGTGGGACTCAATCCCAGGACCCCAGGATCACAACCTGAGCCAAAGGCAGATGCTCAACCACTAAGCCACCCAGGTGCCCCCATCCACTTATTTTAGATAGAGCGTGCAAGCACACATTAGTGGGGGGAGGGGCAGAGGGAGAGAATCCTCAAGCAGACTCCCTGCTGAGCACAGTGCCTGACACAGGGCTCAATCTCACAACCTCTGAGATCATGCAACTAGCATCTAATGTAAGGAAGTTAGAAGCTATCTCAAAAGTATGTGTGAAAGCATAAGGTCAGTGCGCTATACTTTACTCTGAGAAACATGTGTTACTAGAATGCAGCTCGCAACTAGATTATAAGAATTCCTAATCTTGATGAATTGAACATTTTATCATTATAGAATGTCCTTATGTATCTATGACACCCCTGTTCTTGAATTCTATTTTATCTGATATTAATATATCCACTACAGCTTTTTCATAATTAGTGTTTTCACTATGAATCTATCTTTTGAACTTTCAACCTGTGTTTCTGTATTTAAAGTATGAGTCTTTTACATATAGTTGGGTCATGCTTCTTTATTCAGTCTCATAGTTTTATTTGGAGTGTCTCTTTTACATTTAATGTAATTATTGATATGGTTGAACTTAATTCTACCATTTTGCTACCTGTTTGATTTGTCCTGTGTCTTTTCTTCCTTTCCTTTCTTTTGAGTTAAACATTTTTTAACATGTAATTTAATTCCTCTACTTGCATTATTTTTTAATGGATATTCTATAGGGATTATAATATCATCTATAATTTCTCATCATTTCCTTAGCATTATTATTCTTTGTCATATTACTTTTTTTTTTTTTTAAGATTTTACTTATTTGACAGAGAACAAGTAGGGGAGGGGGGCAGAGGGAGAGAATGAGAGAAGCAAGACTCCTCAGTGAGCAAGAAGCCCTACTCAGGGTTCTATCGCAGGACTCAGAGATCATGTCCTGAGTCGAAGGTAGATGATTAACCAACTGAGCCATCCAGGCACCCACCCCTCTTTGTCATATTCAATGTAGAAACACTTTTTATTTACCTTTCTTCCACTTACATCCCTTCAAATTCAGTATTAATTAGTACACACAACTAAATTATATTCTAATTTCAGGAAATTGTGAGATAGCAACTATACAATTGGAGTCAAAAGTTTAACTCTTTGATGTTCCCTCCCAGTCACTCTGTCTCCACTCCTGATTTCTGGTCTTCCTCTTGTTTCTTATGATTAATATTTGCCACCTTTGGGCCATGGGTAGCAAACACAATATATTATCCTCATAAGCAGAAGTGGTTGAGGAAGCTGTAACCGAGCTTAAAGGAGCACATTAGCAAGGGTGATGGCCAGAGCAGATACTAACAGAAGTTAGTATCAGCACAATTCACAGCAAGTCAGAAAAAAATTTTAAAAGGTCCAAACAAAAGGATCCTAAGTCAGGTAAAAGAAAAGATGACATTATATAATTAGAAGGAGAAAGAAAAGACAGAAACAAGGACACCAAGAGCTCCTGAGAGCTGAGGTAGATTATTATTATCCTTTCAATTGCCTGTAGTGCTCCTACTTTATTGAGTTGATCCTTGTGCAGAAAGAGCCTAAATTAGTGGTTCCTAATTTTGGCTGCATATTGGAACCTGAGGAATTTTTAAATTCCTGATGTCGAGGCTGCACCCTAGTCCACATTTAATCTGAATCTCTGGTGCTGGGACCCAGGTACTTTTTTTCAAAGCTTCTCAGATTTCTGTGTACATCCAGTGTTAATAAACTCCAGTGTAAACGTTTGCAAGTGAACAAGTGGTGTGTAGGGACAGAGAAAAGGAGGATTTCCTATGCTTAGAATTTTTTTCTCTTTATTTCCCTAGAGAAACTTCCTGGTGATTTTCCTTTTTAGGATCCTGATCCTCCCCACTTGGCTTCAGGTTGAAACTACTATTTACAGAGCAATTAGCCTCCGGCAGCCCAGGTGGCTCAGCAGTTTAGCACAAAGTCCCACATCAGGTTCCCTGCATGGAGCCTGCTTCTCCCTCTGCCTGTGTCTCTGCCTCTCTCTCTCTCTCTCTCTCTCTCTCTCTCATGAATAAATATTTTTTTTAAAAAATAGAGAGCCTTAGCCTCGAGTACTGTTCAATCTCCTCCTCTGATTAATTTTTTTCTTTTAATATTTTATTTATTTATTTATTCATGAGAGACACAGATAGAGGCAGAGACACAGGCAGAGGGAAAAGCAGCCTCCATGCAGGGAGCCCGATGTGGGACTCGATCTTGGGACACCAGGATCACGCCCTGGGCCAAAGGCAGGTTCTCAACCGCTGAGCCACCCAGGCATCCCGTGTGATTAGTTTTTCTACTGATATCAGATGCTTAGCTCCTAAGGCAAACAGCCTCTGACTAAACCAGACTTTCTCTTGTGTTTCTCTAGGATTTCTCTTCACTGCTTCAGCTTTCTGGGGTTTGTTACTGTACCTCTTGTCCTCTTCCCATACCTAATAACCTTTCAAGGAAGAGAGCTATCTTTTTGCATTACACAGCCTCATATGTTTTTGTAGTATACCTTGTAATTAGAACAGGTATGAACAATCAGGAGAGAATACATAATTTTCACCCTTTCTTTTCTTTTTTCTTTTAAGTCAACGCTATACCTGACATGAGGCTTGAACTCACAACCCACATATCAAGAGTTGCATGCTCTACCGAGCCACCTGGGTTCCCAGAGACTACATCATTATTTTAATAATTTACCGCATTCTATTCATCATGAATTTCTTTATGTTGATGAAAGGCTGAATGCACCCTGAAGGTTTTCTCACATTTCTTACATTTGTAGTGTTTTTCTCCTGTATGGGTTTTCTGGTGTTGAATAAGAGATGAACTCTGGCTGAAAGCTCTGTCACAATCATTGCATTTATATGGTTTCTCTCCAGTATGAGTTCTCAGATGCTTTGTAAGAGATGAGCTCTGGCTGAAGGCCTTCTTGCATTCTTTACATTTGTAAGGTTTCTCACCAGTATGAATTCTCTGATGTCTTACAAGAGCTGAGCGATCACTGAAGGCTTTCCCACATTCGTTACATTTGTAAGGTTTCTCCCCAGTATGGGTTCCTTGATGTTGAATAAGAGCTGAACAGTAGCTGAAAGCTTTCCCACATTCACTGCATTCATAGGGCTTTTCCCCTGTATGAATTCTCTGATGTTGAGTGAGGCCTGACCTGTCACTAAAGGCTTTCCCACATTCTGTACATCCATAAGGTTTTTCTCCAGTATGAACCCTCTGATGTTTAATAAGGGATGAGGTATCATTGAAAGCTTTTCCACATTCCTTGCATTTATAGGGTTTCTCTCCAGTGTGGATTCTGTGATGTTGAATTAGATATGTGCTTTGGTTGAAGGCCTTCCCACATTCATTGCACTCATAGGGCTTTTCTCCAGTATGAATGATATGATGTTGAATGAGGGCTGATCGATGACTGAAGGCCTTCCCACACTCGTTACACTCATAGGGTTTCTCTCCAGTGTGGATTCTCTGATGCTGAATAAGTGATGAGCTCCGGCTGAAGGCTTTTCCACACTCTTTACAAACATAAGGTTTCTCTCCAGTATGAATTCTCTGATGTAGGATAAAGGCTGAGTAGTAACTGAAGGACTTCCCACATTCATTGCACTTCCAAGGCTTTTTCACTGAGTAAACATTGTGATGTTTAATTGGGTTTGAGCTTTCCCCAGTTTGATTACAATTCTCCACAGAGTTTTTCTTGCGTTTAATTATGACTTGCCTTAAATCTTTCTTCTGATTTCCTTGCTGTCTTTCTAATGTGCTTTCACATTGCCAGGCTTCCATCAATCTGGAGTCCCAGGACTCATCCTTTTTAAGTCTCTCCATGATCAGCTCTCTTTCAGGTGACTCTTCTTCATAAAGTCCCTGCTTTGAAAAGGATTCTTTAGCTTCAGGTATAGATTCGGAATCTGAAATCAATAAAAAGTACAAGTCTTTGTGTGCTCTGGGGTGAGAGAAAAAAACTGCTGAGTTGGCAAGAGGGAAAAAAAAATGATGCTTGTTAAGTTTGTTTATTAGAATGTTTTCAGAAAGTGCCTCCTGGAAATGTCAGAGGAGGTTCCAGGGACTAATAGAGATGAGAGAATGGCTAGTACAAGGCACAGTAAGAGAACAATGAGGATGCTCCACCTAAAAGAATGGAAAACAGTGGACTAGTCAGGAAGGAAGATAAGCAGTGGGGCTAAGAATAAATGTTAATAAAAAATATCTGAGGAAGGGTGAAAAGATAAAAACACAAGTTGAGATTGGGCAGTTTTTAAAAAGTACAAGACAAAAAAATTACTTATAATAATCACCCAGAAATAGCCACTTTTGACTTTTTTAAATAGTTCCCATCGGTCCTTTTTTTTTTTTTTAAAGAGACAGAGCAGGGTCATCCGGTGGAGAGGCAGAGAGAGAGATAGAGAATTTTCTTTTTTAAAGACTTTATTTATTCATGGAGACACAGAGAGAAAGGCAGAAACATAGGCAGAGGGAGAAGCAGGCTCCATGCAGGGAGCCTGATGTGGGACTCAATCCCGGGACTCAGGATCATGCCCTGAGCCAAAGGCAGACACTCAACCACTGAGCCACCCAGGCATCCCATCCAGTGGATTCTTTTCATTCCTTGTTTAGATTGGCCTCTCAACAGCACTTGACAGTGGTGACCATGCATCCCTCCTAACAACATTCCCACCCCCATCTTTCCCCCAACTTTATTCAGATATAATTGGCAGATGTTCTTTCTCAACTTCTGTGATTCTAAGCTGTCCAGGTTTTACTCCTGCTATTTATTTAGAGCTTTTTCTGTTTCTTCTTCTTAAACGTTGATGCTTCTTGGTATACAGTCTAGGCTCTCCTTTTTTGCCCCTCCCCATCCTCCACTACACTGTCTCCATTAAAGACTTCATCTAGTCCATGGTTGCTTCTTTTAGAAAATTGAAATATATTTGACATAAAACACTGTATAAGTTTAAGGTACACAACATGTTAGTTTGATGTGTTTATATACTGTAATATGATGCTGATGTATTGATAGCACCTCAATTATATTACATAATTATTATTTATATTTTTTTATTTCTATTTTGTGATGGGAATAATTAAGATCTAGTCGTTAGCAAGTTTGATGATTATAATACAATATTGTTATCTGTGTTGACTCTACTGTGTATTAAATCTCTGGGATTTATTTGTTTACTAGTTGCAGTTGCCTTCTATATATCAATGATTTCCAATTCTTATCTCCAGCTTAGTTCTGATCCCACATCCATATATCCAACTATTTACTTCTGTCCCCTACACCATATAATCCAATTATTTACTTAGTTATATATCCAACTAGCCAACTACATGTATCCACTTGGAAATCTCAAATTCAGTATATCCATACCTTAATTCATCTTATCCCTCCATCTGTGTATTTCCCAGCTTTCATCATCGATGATATGTCACCACCATCATTCTTTTATTTTTTTTTTTTTTTTATTTACGATAGTCATACAGAGAGAGAGAGAGAGAGGCAGAGACACAGGCAGAGGGAGAAGCAGGCTCCATGCACCGGGAGCCCGAGGTGGGATTCGATCCCGGGTCTCCAGGATCGCGCCCTGGGCCAAAGGCAGGCGCCAAACCGCTGCGCCACCCAGGGATCCCTCACCACCATCATTCTTATTAATAAAAAGACACTAATATAAGAATATGAACTCCACCACCAAAAGGTCTTTTTCTGAGGGCAGGTAATTTTCTTTGGTTCACTGATATTTCTCAGGGCCTATCATAGTTCTGGTAAAGAAAAAGTATATGCATGAAATAGATGTTGTATGGGGGTGCCTGGGTGGCTCAGTCAGTTAAGTGTCTGCCTTTGGCTCAGGTCATGATCTCAGGGTCCTGGGATTGAGCCCCACATCAGGCTCCCTGTCCAGTGGGGAATCTGCTTCCCCTCTCTCTTTGCCCCTCTCCTCCATTCATGCTCTCTCTCTCTCAAATAAATAAACACAATCTTTAAAAAGAAGAAAAAAAGAAATAGATATATGCACTGAGCTGGACGCAAATAATACAAGCAGTGAACATATCTGGAGAATAATAAGTCTTTCTTTTCTTTTCTTTTTTTCTTTTTTATTTTTTGTAATAAGCCTTTCTTAAGATCCTTTTATCCCATTATAGAAACATACCAATATTTGATCAAAATATATCCTAATGCTGACATAATTTTCAGAAGTTGAAAATCTCATGGTAACCTAAAGTTTAATATATGCTATGAACTAGAGATGCCTGGGTGGCTCAGTGACTGAGTGCCTTCAGCTCAGGTCATGATCCCGGAGTCCTGGGATCAAGTCCCACATCGGGCTCCCCAATGGCAGCCTGCTTCTCCCTCAACTTGTTCTCTGCCTCTCTCTCTGTGTCTCTCATGAATAAATAAATAAAATCTTAAAATATATATATATATATATATATACATATATATGCTATGAAATATAATAATATCAGGAAATATCAGTATCTAGTGTTTATTATGTATAAACTACTGTTTTAAAAAATTAAATATGGGATCCCTGGGTGGCGCAGCAGCGGTTTGGCGCCTGCCTTTGGCCCAGGGCGCGATCCTGGAGACCCAGGATCGAATCCCACATCGGGCTCCCGGTGCATGGAGCCTGCTTCTCCCTCTGCCTGTGTCTCTGCGCCTCTCTCTCTCTCTCCCTCTGTGACTATCATAAATAAATAAAAATTTAAAAAAAAATTTAAAAAAAAATTAAATATATGAATACATCTAATCCTCACAAAACTCCAAAAAGCTTTCCTAGCTTAAAGTCTGAAAACTGAGAATCATACTAAGCTTTTCCCTCTACACTACCAACCAAAACAAATAAATCACCAAGTTTTATGGATTATACTTCCCAAATCTCTCTCATTCATTCTGTATTTCCTCTCCCCATTATTACCACCCCAATTCAGTTACCATCATCTCTCCCCTAACCCAATGGAGCTAATTGTATCCTTTCTCAATGCATCCTTCTCCAATCAAATCTGATTGTATAAACCATAGAATAATCAATGGAACCAGACTCAATGATTACCCAGATATAAAGGAACTTGAAGTAACTATGATTAATATATAAAAGTCTCCAGTGGGGGCAGCCCCGGTGGCTTAGCGGTTTAGCGCCGCCTTCAGCCTAGGGTGTGATCCTGGAGACCCAGGATCGAGTCCCACGTCGGGCATCCCTGCATGGAGCCTGCTTCTCCCTCTCCCTCTGCCTGTGTCTGTGCCTCTCTCTCTCTCTCTCTCATGAATAAATAAATAAAATCTAAAAAAAATAAAAAATAAAAATAAAATAAAAATAAAAGTCTCCAGTGGAAAAGAAGGACAACATGCTTTAACAGTTGAGGAATGTTAGCAAAGAGATATAAACTATAAAAGTCAAATGAAAATGCTAAAGATGAAAAACTGGTAATGGAGATTAATGTCTTTGATGAATGCATCAGTAAAGTCAACAAAGCTAAGAATCAGTAAACTTTCAAATAGGTCAAAATAAACTACCCAAACTAAAGCATAAAGAGCAAAAAAAGAGTAAAAAACCTAACAACCAGAAGAGACCATCTGAGAGCTGCGGGACAATATCTAATGCTCTAAATCCATGTAATTGGAATCCTGGAAGGAGAAGAGACAGAGAGAATGGGCAGAAACAGTACTTGATGAGTTAGTGGCTGATAATATTCCACAACTAATGAAAGGCATCAAGCCAAAAATCCAAGGAAGTTCAGAGAACCCTAAGCGGAATGAAACATGCACATGCATGTGCATACACCGCCCCCCCCAAACACACACACACCTCTAAATACATTGTATGCAAACTGTTGAAAACCAAGATAAAGAGGAAATCTTAAAAACAGCCATAGAGGGCAGCCCCCGTGGCACAGCGGTTTAGCGCCGCCTGTAGCCTGGGGTGTGATCCTGGAGACCAGGGATCGAGTCCCACGTCAGGCTCCCTGCATGGAGCCTGCTTCTCCCTCTGCCTGTGTCTCTGCCTCTCTCTCTCTCTCTCTCTCTCTCTCTGTCTCTGTCTCTGTCTCTATGAATAAATAAATAAAACCTTTAAAAAAAAAACAGCCAGGGCAGCCCGGGTGGCTCAGCAGTTTAGCGCCTGCCTTCAGCCTAGGGTGTGATCCTGGAGACCTGGGATTGAGTCCCACGTCAGGCTCCCTGCATAGAGCCTGCTTCTCCCTCTGCCTGTGTCTCTGCCTCTCTCTGTGTGTCGCTCATGAATAAGTAAATTTAAAAAAAAAATCTTAAAAAAAAAAAACAGCCATAGAAAAAGAAACACTACAGAAGAACAAAAATAAAAATTACACAAACTTTGTCACAAACTATGTAAGCCAGAAGACAATGAAGGGACACATTTAAATTGCTGAAAGAAAAAAAAAAAACCCTGTCCCTAAGAATTCTATATTCAGTGAAAATATAATTTCATTTTCAAAAGGGAAGATAAAAGGGGTGCCTCACTGGCTCAGTCAGAAGAGCATGTGCCTCCTGATTTTGGAGTTGTGGGTTCAAGCCCTACATTGGGTGTTGAGATTACTTAAAAATAAAATGGAAGGGAAAGGAAAGGGAAAGGGAAAAGGAAAGGAGGAAGGAAGAAAGATAGAAAGATGAAAGTTATTTTTTCAGCCAAGCAAAAGCTGAGAGAATTCATTACCAGTTGGTGTGCACTATAAGAAATGTGCTTATAGGCAGAAGGTAATTTATAGAAGTCAAGAACTTGGATATACATCAGGGGTCAGCACGTTATGGCCCATGGGGCAACCAAACTGACCCACCACAGGCCAAATCTGGCCACTCCCACTTTTTACAAATTGTTTATGGCTGCCTCTATGCTACAATAGCAAAGTTAAATAACTGCAAGAGAGTATATGGCCCATCAAGCAAAAAATATTTACCATCTGGTCCTTTATAGAGAAGTTTGCCAACCCCTGATCTATATATAAAATGAATAGTGTTTGCAATAGCATAATGAAAATACCCAACCAAAAAACAGAAAAAGAAAAATGAATGAGGAAAAGATTGAATAGAAAACAACTAGATATATGTGAGATTTAAATCCAACTGTACCAATAGCTAATTTAAATGTAAATGACCTAAACACAGCAATTGAAAACTCCAGAAATTGTTGGCATGTGTTTAAAAACCAGACCCAATTCTATGCGGTCCACAAGAAACTTACTTTAAGTAGGTTTTTAAAAATGGAAAAAATATACTATGCAAACAGGAAGCCAGAGTGGCTATATTACTATTAGACAAAATAAGATTCCAAATAAGAAATATTATGAACGTTAAAGAGGGACATTATAAAATGATAAAAGGGTCAATTCACCAAGAAGATAATTTGTTACATGTATGCACCTAACAAAAGAGTTTCAGACACATTAATCAAAATACATTAAGCAAAAACTGATAGAACTAAAATGAGAAATAGAAAATCCCACAATTATCATTGGACAATTCAACACTCCTCTGTCAGTAATCAGTAGGAGCCAGTAAACAGGAAATTGGTAAGGATATAGAAGACCTGAACACTCTCCATCAACCTGACCTAATTAAATTTATTTTCAAATTCACATGGAAGATCCATCAAGACTATACTATGGGTAGGGACACCTGGGTGGCTCAGAGGTTGAGTATCTGCCTTTGGCTCAGAGCATGATCCTGGGGTCCAGGGATTGAGTCCCATGTTGAGCTCCCTGTAGGGAGCCTGCTCTTCCCTATGCCTATGTCTCTGCCTCTCTCTCTCTCTCTCTCTCTCTCTCTCTCTCTGTGTCTCCCATGAATAAATAGGTAAAATCTTTAAAAAAAAAAAAAGACTGTATTATGGGTAATAACAAATCTCAGAAATGTAAAAGAACTGAAATCATACAAAGTATCTTTGACAATACAGAACCAAACCACAAAATCGAAAACAAATTTATTGAAAATCACCTAAAATTTGGAAATCTGTAAATAACCCATGAGTCAAAGAGGAAGCCACAAGCGAAAAGCGAAGTTATTTGAACCATGGAAATGAAAATACCATATATCAAAATTGTGGAATGCAACCAAAGCAGTCAGTCCTCACAAGGAAATTTATAGCATTAAATGTTCATATTAAAAGAAAAGAAAGATCTGTGATAAGGCTTCTACCTTAAGAAATTAAAATAAGAGCAAATTAGATCTAAAGTTAGCAAAGGGGAAAAAATAAATTGTTAAACTCTTAGGAAGACTAATAAAATTAAAACAGAGAAGATACAGATTACCAATATCAGGATTGAAAGATGGTAAATCACTACGACGGCTCACTCAAGAAGATACAGATCATCTGAATGGTCCTATATCTATCAAGGGACCCTCCAATAAAGCAAACTCAAGACCCAGAGAGCTTGACTAGACTAAGCTTTTGATATATATATTTTTTAAGATTTAATTATTTATTCAGAGAGAGAGAGGGGGGGGGCAGAGACACAGGCAGAGGGAGAAGCAGGCTCCACGCAGGAAGCCCGACGTGGGACTCGATCCCGGGGTCCCCAAGAACACACCCCAGGCTGCAGGAGGCGCCAAACCACTGCGCCACCGGGGCTGCCCTAAGCTTTTGATATTATATCTAATAAAATGGTTCTTCTACCTTTTATTTTTTATTTTATTTTATTAAGATTTCATTTATTTATTCATGAGAGACACAGAGAGAGAGAGAGAGAAAGGCAGAGACATAGGCAGAGGGAGAAGCAGGCTCCATGCAAGGAGCCTGATGTGGGACTCAATCATGGATCCTGGGATCACAACCTGAGCCAAAGGCAGAGGCTCAACCACTGAGCCTCCCAGGCATCCCTCTTCTAGGTTTTATACCTATATCTGTGATTCATTGAGAATAACTGTGTATGGTGGGAGGTATGGATTTTCTTTTGGCATATATATATCCAGTTGTTCCAGTACCATTTGTTGAAAAGATTCTCCTTTTAACATTGAATTGATTTTGCATCTTTGTCAGAAATTTGTGTGGGTCTACTTCTGGGCCATCTGTTCTGTTCCATTGATTTACATCTATCCTTTCATCATACCATACTGTTTTGATTACTAAAGCTTTACAAATCTTTAAACCAATGTAATGGGGCACGTGGGTGGCTCAGTCAATTGGGTGTCTGCCTTCAGTTCACGTCCTAATCCTGGAGTCTCAGAATCAAGCCCCAAGTCCGGCTTCCTGCTCAGTGGAAGGAGGAAGCTCCTCCTTCCCCCTGCTCATGCTCAGTCTGCTCTCTCTAATAAATTAGTGAAATCTTAAATAATAATGATGATGATGATGATGATGATGATGATGATGATTTAAGGAAGTACACCGTAAAAAAAAAAAAAATGAGGGGATCCCTGGGTGGCACAGCGGTTTGGCGCCTGCCTTTGGCCCAGGGCGTGATCCTGGAGACCCGGGATCGAATCCCACGTCGGGCTCCCGGTGCATGGAACCTGCTTCTCCCTCTGCCTGTGTCTCTGCCCCTCTCTCTCTCTCTCTCTGTGACTATCATAAATAAAAAATAAAAATTAATTTAAAAAATTTAAAAAAAAATGAAACAGTGTAATGAAGCTGGCCTTTTTCAATACCAAAAACAGTGAACTTTTACTTGGCAAAAGAGAAAAGGAGCCAATTCTGAGCCCAGAGTGATCAGGGATCTCCTAGGGGATTAGGGCCCTCTGGATATTAAGCAAAACTATGGCATTTTAGACGCCCTTAGTTATAGAGAAGCTTAAGTCCCAGTAAGCAGTTCTCATTAAAAATTAACTTCCTTACCCCAAAATACCAGGCTCTCACAATTCTCCACTTTCATATCCATGCCCATGTACCTTTGGGCAGAATTCAGCTGTTCTTCTTCCACCTGAGTTAAGTCCATTTCCTCATCCTTGACTGTCACCAATTCCTGGAAGAACAAGCACACTATTATAGGACTTAGGGAAGAGAACAATCTATAAGAAGATTTTTTTTAATCTAAATGTTAAGCCTTTATTTTATGGAACAGTCTACAATTTCTATGTTAAGGAAAATAATAATAGCTCACATTCATAATCTATCGTCTATGTTCCAAGTCCTTTGAACTACCTCTTGTAATGATAACTATATGAAGTAAGTACTCTTGTTAACATTATTCACAGATATGAGGACCAGATCTGAGATTTGGACCCAGGCAGTCTGATTCCAAAGCTATACTCTTTCTTTTAAATGTAAAATAAAATATACTAGTTTCAAGTATACAACATGGTGATTTGACATCAAAGCTATACTCTTAACTGTATGTTTCTGTCTTTTACATATTATACTAAATAAATCTAATGTAAACTAACCACTGAATGACAACCAAATGTTAATTACTAATTGTACTTAGTTGTTGTAGATGGGATAAATCTCAGATATGTAATTTATACTGATTTCTAGAATATTCAGAGATTTTATAGAAATTCTGCTTGATATTGTGATTGCATACAGATAGCCTTCCTGTTCTAACAGAGGCTACTTCTTTCTCTGTACTTAGGGCTATGACTTTTAGATTTATTTAGTTATCCTTTAGTAACTACAGTTGTTCTGAATGAATGCATTTATTGATTGTAAACTGAAAATGATCAACTATTCTTCATACTCTGTTATATTGACAGTCATATCGGTGTATTTTGTTGATCATACTTAACTGGAGAATGCTTTGTGTTGTTTTTTTTTTTTGTTTTTTTTGTTGTTTTTTTTTTAATTTTTATTTATTGTAGTCACAGAGAGAGAGAGAGAGAGAGAGAGAGAGAGAGAGGCAGAGACATAGGCAGAGGGAGAAGCAGGCTCCATGCACCGGGAGCCTGACGTGGGATTCGATCCCAGGTCTCCAGGATCGCGCCCTCGGCCAAAGGCAGGCGCTAAACCACTGCGCCACCCAGGGATCCCTGGAGAATGCTTTGTGAGAAAACCAATAGAATATAGTAGTTGAGGGGCATCTGGATGGCACAGTCGATTAAGCATCCTGGTTTCAGCTCAGGTCATGATCTCAGAACCCTGATCTGAGTCATGAGATCAAGCCTCACATTGGGCTCCACACTCAGCATGGAGTCTCCTTAAGATTTTCTCTCTCCCTCTACCCCTACCCCCACTATAGTGTTCTCTCTAAAACAAATAAATAAATCTTAAAAAAAAAAAAAAAAGAATATGTGGTTAAGAGGCATAGGATTTAGGATCAGACATACCTGGGTTCTTTTTTTTTTTAATTTTTATTTATTTATGATAGTCACAGAGAGAGAGAGAGAGAGGCAGAGACAGAGGCAGAGGGAGAAGCAGGCTCCATGCACCGGGAGCCCGAGGAGGGATTCGATCCCGGGTCTCCAGGATCGCGCCCTAGGCCAAAGGCAGGCGCCAAACCGCTGCGCCACCCAGGGATCCCAATACCTGGGTTCTGATTAGTGTTCAACTACCTTATGATTCTGAGGAAGTTACTGTTAGCCTCAGTTTTGGAGTTTATTTTCAAGTAATCTCTCTACCCAATGTGGAACTTGAACTTAGAACCCCAAGATCAAGAGTCGCATGCTCCACTGACTGAACCAGCCAGGCACCCCTGTGAGCCTCAATTTTACTATGAAATAGGCATCATCCCTAACTCACATGATTTTTTGTTTAAAATAAATGAAGTAACATTTGAAAAGTGGCTCTAAATGTTAGAGTTCCCCATAGCTCAGTCATTAGACATCTCTCTCCATCCATTCTCACATACCTATAAGCAATGCTATTGTGCCCATATTCTTTTTAAAAATCCTAAAACACACACACACACACACACACACACACACACACAAAACCCTCTTCGGTCCTCTCCTTTAAAGTAGAACTCTCCAAAATACTTGTTGGTAGTCCCTGCCTCCAATTTCTCTCCTATTCTCTCCTGAATCCTTTCTACTCAGGCTTTCATTCCTGCTGTTCCATGAAATTGTTCTTGGAAGTCACCAATGATCTTCATATTTTTAATTCCAATAATCAATTCTCAGGCCTCATCACATTTGACTTAGCAGCAGCATTTAACACACCTAATCGCTCCCTGCTTCTTGAAACTCTCCCATTGGTTATCAGGATGCCATACTTTCAACTTCTCCCTACCCTACTGGCCACATCTTATCAGTCTGTTTTGCTGGTTCCTCTTCATCAACCTGACCACTAAGATTTGAAGAGCTATAGGGCTCAGTAATAAAATTTCAACTCTTCTCTATTCCCTCAGTGATCACAGTTTCACAGTTTATAATGCCACTCACGCAGATTACTCCCAAATTCAATGCTCAAGCTGGAGTTCTCCCCAGACTTCCAAGTCTTCAAGGAAATATTACCTTGGTTCAGTTCTCTAGTTGGGATTGCTGTGGATCTCTAAAGAAAATGAAAAAAGGAAACAACACACCATGAAGACCTAGCTAAGATTTCAGAGGAGGGAACTCAAACTTGCCTGGAACTCTACAGGAAGGAGTCCAACAGTAGGTTCCATTTCTTCTGTGTTCTCTTTTTGGGGCAGAGAAGCATCCTCAGTAGCAATGGCTGGAAGGACTAGGGGGATAAAAAGCCACAAAGGAAGTAAACTCTATTCAATAGACAAAAGCTATCATAAACCAGCTAAATTATATACACAAGCCCCACTCAACCTAACTCAGAAAGGTAGGATGAGGATAAAGATGATAAAGTGAAAGCACATTGCCCAAAAAACTAAATTGTAGACCCACAATACATCAACCTTTTGGAATCATCTAACAAGGAGTAGAAAAGCATCACCTATCTTTTATCACAAAAGCAAGCAAGATGGAATAGTCTCTCCTCTTCAGCTATTTCTTTTTATTTCTTTCTTTTTTTTTTTTTTTTATTCATGAGAGACACAGAGAGAGAGAGAGGCAGAGACACAGGCAGAGGGAGAAGCAGGCTCTATGCAGGGAGCCTGACATGGGACTCGATCCTGAGTCTCCAGGATCAGGCCCTGGGCTGAAGGCAGGCTGCAGCTATTTCTATAATGCTTACCTTCTTCCTCAGCTTCAATGGTCATATAATCCATGATGGGCTTCTCTTTTTTGTCCTGTTACTGCTATGACTTCCTCTTTAGTCACAGTTCCAGATGAAAGATAAACACGGGCTTCTCAGCAACACATAATCTGCTTCTTTGTGTAAACCATTCAACTCTACTCTGAAGCTCTGGAGAGAGATTTTTGAGGTTAGGCTCGCCATCCTCTGGAAATGGTTCCTGCTCCCTGGAGCATCTCTCTCTCCTCCTAGGAGGCTTACTCCTATGCATTTAAGTCCTAGGGCCTCAGAAGTAATTCCTCTTTGCTTGAAACCTTAATATTTAGGCTAAATTAGTCCCCACAGCTGAAGACCATTCTCTAGAGTACTGAGATCAGTCACTACATGCCATACCAGGACAAAACCAGAAAAGAAGCAGGGCAGTGAACTGTGAGCCTCACACCTAGTTCCAGCCTGTGCAGAATTCCCAAGACCCTAAAGCACACAGCTGACCATAAGGTGGTCTGTGATTATGGTAGCAGTAACTACAAGCAGGGCTCCAACAATTGGTTCATCCTTATGATTCATGAAGACAGGCAGCTGGTAGATGGGGCCCTTATACAGCAGCTGATTCCCCACCTGCTCTTTTTTAAAGACCCTGAAAATGTACACACCCAGGATTCTCTTCCATGGTCAGAGGGAGAACAAAAGACTTCAGTAATTAGTAACAACTGACAAACAAGATGGGTTCCCTTCTGTCAAGGGAGAAAAAGTAAACTTTGAATCAGGCTGACTGACCACGAGGCACAAAACCAGTCAGTACAGCCTAAGGTGACAAGCTGGCACAAAGTCCAACAAAATTTGCAAAAAAAAAAAAAAAAAAAAAAGACTGCCACATCCTGAAACTGCTTTGTCACTCTGTACCTGAGCACCTGGTACCTAAGCACCTGATATTCGTGGTTTGGGACTTGAGCCCGACTAGTCCTTGTAAAGGGCATGGAATTTGTGGTTAGTGCCTATTTAACTCTGAACCTAATCTTTCCTCTTTAGAGTGTACTATAGGTTTGCAGTCGAAGGTTGCATCTCCCAGGTTTGCAAACTGCCCGGGAACAAAGCTTTTCCCTGGCTCTGACCAAATCTTCGCATTCCAGGCGCGCGTGTGCGGTCAACCCTATGCATTGGCCCCAAAGAGAGAGAGAGAGAAAGTGAGTGTGTGTGTGTGTACTCAACCCTTTGTATTGGCCCCAAATACAGGCAGGCCCCAAAACTCTGATAAAGCAAAGCACAGAAGGGCAATGAGTAAGACACGGACCACATTTTTTTTGTGTGTCCCAGAAGTTAAGAACATTAAGGGATTTAGTAGACGGGCAGGTTGAAGGCCAAAACCCACGAAAGGTTCTCTAGCTCCCCGCACCCGGCACTCCCGCTCCCAGAATCCCCCGGTCGGCCACGCCTCCTTCAAGTTCCCGGACTCCATCTCCCAGCGGGCTTAGCGGCAAGCGTACTTCCGGGATGCCTAGTGTCTCAGAGCTGAACCCACAAACCCAGCGAGAGAGAAGAGGGAGCCGTTCGTAGAGCCCTGGAGAGTAGGCCCGGGTCGCGCAGACAGGGCCCAGCCCTCTTCCCGCCGGGGCCGGAACCTGAAAGCGTGGCCCGGGTTGCTGCGGGGGGCAGTGGAGCGGCACGCACGGATCGGCGGGGCGTGGAGACCCGCGCCTAGGGCCCAGCTTACGCTTACCTCTTTCTGGACACAGTGCGGACTCCGCTCCGGCCACAGGGCAGGTCCCCGCGGGGCTGCGCTCTGGGAGAGACGGGAGGGGCGGACGGACTCCCTTTCCGGGCCCGCGGAGCTCCGGCGAAACAAAAGGCTCGAGCCCGAGGCTCCGTCTGGAGTCGCATCTGCGCACTTGGAGGCGACCGCGCCGGGTCGGGGGTCCCGGCGGAAGGACTTCACTTCCCAGAGGGCTCGAGGACATCGGTGGCGCCCTGGGTGGCGTCTCCCGAGCCAGGGGAGAAAAGCGCAGGGCTTCTGTATCATCCTTTAGATGGAGATAATATCCCATCTGATAGGTCTCCTTTCTGAATAAAATGAGAAATTGTCGTTTATAAGCTTCTGGAGCGGGTTAAGCGTCTGACGTCAGCTCAGGTCAGGATCTCAGGGTCCTGCTACTGAGCACCCCCATCGGGCTCCTGCTCAGCAGGAGTCCGCTTCCCCCTCTCCCTCAGCCCCTCCCCCTGCTCAGGCTCTGCCTCCCAAAAAAAACGTTTAACAAAATTAAAAGGTCCAAATATTATCAATGTCTGTTACACAGTCTTAGTGTTGCTCAATCCTACAATAAAGCCCCAAATCTGTAAACCGAGTACTAGTGATTTTATTGAAAGCATTCTGGCTGATAAAACGCCATAGGCAGGGGAAAAAAAAAAAAACACCATAGGCAGGGTTGAGAAGCTATTGTCCTAACTGACGAGATACAAAAGAAAAAACATGATATAGGAATGAGTTCAGGAGGAAAAGTTAGACGTGAGAGAGGCAAGGACAGAAATTGGCTTTGAAACAGGAAATTGTGCACACCCGGAGTTTATGAACATTGGTCCTGGAAGGTCCACTGCTCCCTTTGAGCCAAAGAACAACTGGATGAGGATGAAAGATACTCTTCTGCTCTGCGTGGAAACACCTGGTCTATAGCTCCAGTTCTATTCTTAAAAATCGAGGAGAAACCAATTGTCATTCCAGTCCACATTACCAGAGTCACCAGAATAGTCTCTCCACATCTAATCTTGCTTCTCAATACATGCTATTTAAAAATTAAGTCTGTTGATGTCACTCTCCTCAGAACCCTTCAATAACTTCCCTATACCCTGAAATAAGACATAAACTCCTTAGCACAGTTTATAAAACCCTGCATTGGGGCATCTGGGTGGCTCAGTTGAACATCTGGATCTCAGCTCAGGTCTTGATCTCAGGGTCCTGAGTTCAAGCTCAGCATTGGGCTCTAGGCTGGATATGGAACCTACTTTTTAAATTTGGTAAATTAAAATAATAAACTAAAATATAAAGGCCAGCTAAACTGAAATTCTTTTTTTAATTATTAATTTTTCTAAATTTTTTTTTAACTGTGAAATTCTAATAAGGGTGACTAAACACATCTTTCTGTCATGTGCTGGTCAGATAACATACAATACTACTATTGTTCATAAAGACTTACAAATGAGTGAAAGCACTTCTCAGCTTGAATCTGAAAATCAGGCAGGGAACACAACAATTTACCAGCTACTCAGAAATAATCCAGGAATGGTCACAATATTATGAAAGGCAGACTTTACTGTTTTCCCTGATTCTAATTTGTTAGAATTAGGTTTTTTACGTAATTTTTATTTCTCTGATATCCAGAAGTACCTTAAAATTTTTGTTGGCCAGGTGCCTCTAGTGCATAGTCATCACACCTGTGGCAGTACACAGGCACGCCAGAATGGGTATCAGAAGAAAATCCCAGAGACAATAATGGAGCATACTTAAGAGTTGCCAAATTACCAATACTATTGGTGGCAAGAAAAATAATACCAGGGATCCCTGGGTGGCGCAGCGGTTTGGCGCCTGCCTTTGGCCCAGGGCGCGATCCTGGAGACCCGGGATCGAATCCCACGTCGGGCTCCCGGTGCATGGAGCCTGCTTCTCCCTCTGCCTGTGTCTCTGCCTCTATCTCTCTCTCTGTGACTATCATAAGTAAATTAAAAAAAAATAATACCAGATGAAAAATCATGGGTGCAAACAACATTGAGTGGAAAGATGTTTCAGAAGAATGGGATTCTGAAGGTGAAGAACTTAGCAATGCTGTCATCATTTTACTTTCCTTTTTATCTGAGTACAAAAGTCATTATATCACTTAAGAATACATGATTAAAATTATATCTAAGCCCCGTACCCCCGCGCGTGCGCGCGCCGGCCGTGCGGGGCGGGATCCAAAAAAAAGAAAAAAGAAAAAAATTATATCTAAGTAAGTCTAAAAGGAACCTATTAGTGATATGAAATAAGTAAAGTGAGGGCAGCCCCGGTGGTGCAGTGGTTTGGCGCCGCCTGCAGCCTGGGGTGTGATCCTGGAGACCCGCGATCCGGTCCCACGTCGGGCTCCCTGCATGGAGCCTGCTTCTCCCTCTGTGTCTCTATGAATAAATAAATAAAATCTTAAAAAAAAAAAAAGGGTAAAGTGATAAAGTATTATAACTTTGGCAGTGTTTCTTTATTGGTTAACACAGAAAATAATGCTGCATCATTTAACTTCATGGCACCTTAGAATGGGTGGAACACTTCAAGTTGTTTACTACTATTTTGTGAGCTGTAAAATGAAAAATTCTGAAATAAGTCATCTCAAATACCTTTTCTTGTTCTGTGGTTTGGTGCTCCTTTGTGTTAAAGCCTGGATTTTGGGGCTGGTGGTGGGCATTGTCAAGCAATCCAAATCAAGGATGCCTGGGTAGCCCAGTTGGTTAAGCATCCAACTCTTGATCTCAGCTGGAGTCTTGATCTCAGGGTCATGAGTTCAAGCCCTGCATTGGGCTCTATGCTGGACAGGGAACCTACATAGAAACAACAAGAGACTTGGATCCATTATTTAAGATCATTATTATTCCACTTGCTGCTCAAGAAAAAGATATAATTTTGAATCTTCAGATCCCAACTGACTAGACTAAGACTGTACTATGCAAACGGAATAAATGAAGTAAGCATCTGAAAAACAAACTTAGAGGCAACAAGGGCCCAGAGCACAGGAAAGAATGTTCTGAGCCCTCAGGGATCCCTTTCTTCTTCCTCTCCAGCTGGGGTTATTAGGCTACATTTGTCTCTTTCCCCAGGAATTTCTTTCACACGCAAACACTATGCTTTTCTGGAAAAGAGTTTGTTTGCCTCCATCCTTGAAATTCAAAATTAGCTCCAATAAACCCACTAGTGGCTCCTATGGGAGCCAGAAATCCTAAACCAAAAAAAATAATAATAAGGGATCCCTGGGTGGCGCAGCGGTGTGGCGCCTGCCTTTGGCCCAGGGCACAATCCTGGAGACACGGGATCGAATCCCACATCGGGCTCCCGGTGCATGGAGCCTGCTTCTCCCTCCGCCTATGTCTCTGCCTCTCTCTCTCTCTGTGACTATCATAAAATAAATAAATAAAAAAAATTAAAAATAATTTTAAAAAAAAATAATAATAATAATAAAAAAGAAAAAGAAATCCTAAACCAGAGCACTTGATATGAGAGTGTTTGAGCTTTCTTGAGCTCAGATTGCTCCAGGTGCAGAGCTCCCTTAAAATTCTCAGAGGAACCAGGGGCACCTGAGTGGCTCAGTCAGTTAGGTATCTGACTCTAGATTTTGGCTCAGATCATGATCTCAGGGTCATGGGATCAGCTGCATCAGGCTTCTCCCCCAGCTCCTGCTCATTCTCTCTTTCAGATAAATAAATAAAATATTAAACAAAAAAAATCAATATCATGAAACACAAAGGCAGGCTGAGAAATGTACCATGTCAAAGGAAATTAAAAACACATGAAAAATTAAATGTGATGCATAATCTTAGATTGGAAGCTGAATTAGAAAAAAAATTTATAAAATACATTACTGGGACAATTTGCAAAATCTAAATATGTTGTATATATTAGATATTCTTATGTATTAATGTTAAATTTGCAAGATTTGGTCATTTTACAGTGGTTATATAAGAGAATACCTCTGTTCTTTAGCATAATATATACTTAAATTTAGTGTGATGCATGCTAAAATGTTTAGGAGTTTAAGGGTCTTGATGTTGCAACTTTCAAATGATTTGCAAAAATAATAATAGCACAAATTATATGTATATATGTGTTTGGATTTACAAACCTCTATGAAAAAATGTGACAGAGGGCAGCCCCTGTGGCGCAGCAGTTTAGTGCCGCCAGCAGCCTGGGGTGTGATCCTAGAGACCCGGGATTGAGTCCCACCTCGGCCTCCCGCATCGAGCCTGCTTCTCCCTCTGCCTGTGTCTCTGCCTGTGTGTGTGTGCCTATGAGTAAATAAAATCTCTTTTTAAAAAGTGACAGAATGTTTTAAAAAACAGTAAATGTAGGTGGGGAGAATATGAGAATTCCTATACTATTCTTACAACTTTTCTCTAGGCTCGAATTACATTTATTTATTTATTTAGGCTTGAATTACATTTAAACAGTTAGAAATTCTGGCTTGCTGTATATTCCTATAATTATAGAGTAAAATAAAACTTTTTAAAAAAAGATTTCATTTATTTATTCATGAGAGACACAGAGAGAGGCAGAGACACAGGCAGAGGGAGAAGCAGGCTCCATGCAGGAAGCCCGACGTGGGACTCGATCCCAGGACTCCATGATCACACCCTGGGCTGAAGGAAGGTGCTCAACAACTGAGCAACTCAGGCGTTCCTAAAATAAAACTTCTATACTTGGAATTACCAAGAATTTCTATTAACTTCTGTAAATGGGCCATCTTATTTTTTTTGCATGCTTCACAATATTTGGTTGAAAATGAACATTTTGAGGGGTGCCTGGGTGGCTTATTTGGTTGGACATCTGACTCTTGATTTCGGCTCAGGTCATGATCTTAGGGTCATGATCTCAGGGTCATAAGATTGAACCCTGTGTCGGTCTCCATGCTCAGTGGGAAGTCTGCATGAGATTCAATCTCTCTCTCTGGGCCTCCCCACCCTCACTCTCTCTTTCTCTCTTAAAATAAATCTTAAATTAAAAAAAAGTAAAGAAAATGAACATTTTTAATATTAGAATGTGGTAACTCTGAAAATCTGATTATTCCTCTTCTTTGGGTTTTTTGTTGCTTGATGTAGGCTGCAACTGATTGTTTAGAGACTTTTCTAAACTATTTTGTAAAGTTTATATTCTGGGTCCTGTGGTCTCTGAAATCTCTTGTTTCTTTAGCTTGTATTCAGCTAATGTTTTGACAGAGATTTTCTTGAATGCCAGGAGCCAAAAAGAAAGGGAGAGAAAGTCTCCCTGTTTTTCCAAGTTGGCTTTGTGCCGGGACCCTCATTCGAGACACTCAGCCAGGCCGTTTACAACTAACTCTACCTTAGCCTTCACCTCCTGCTTGCACTAAGCCTACAGATCAGGCAAAAGTGGAAGTCTACAGCCTTCTCAGGTTTTGTGGGCACATATCTAGAGTAGTACCTAGATCAGTCAAATAGAGACAGAATGTAGAATGGCAGCTTCCAGGAGCTGGGAAGAGGGGAATGGAGAGTTAGTGTTTAATGGGGGCAGAGTTTCAGTTTTGCAAGATGCAAAAAGTCCTGT